TGCGGTCGACTCTGAGGATCCCCTCCAGCACGGGCTGGATCAGCTCCTTACCGCTGCCCTGGCAGAAGTAGCCCGAGCGCTCGTAGGAGCCGATGGCATCGTAGTTGTACACGGCGCCGCGGCCTTGCGGGTGGGAGGGTGGGTGCGGGAGGAGAGGGAGGGTGCGGGAGGAGAGGGAGGAGGGCAATTGCATGAAAGAGTGTGCGGAGAAGGGACAGCGACCGAGGGAGGGAGGGAGGGAGGGAGGGGAACTAAATCGGAAGAAAGGGAAGGGAGGGAGAGCGGGAAGAGACAAGATTTAATTAGACCACACAAGGGAAAAGCGGTGAAAGCGCGAATAGGAACAGATACAATATACATCGCTTCATGAAGTTAAGATCTGCGCGATTCATCCTCTCGCGCGCCCGCCTCCTCAGCATCCTAACAAACCGCTCTCTCTCCCCTCTTTACCCGCCCCCCCTTACCCTCCCACCTTCCTCTCCACCCTCCCCTCTCACCCTGCTCATCCAGACCCGCCACCAAGTTAAATGTGTACAGGGGAAAGAAGCGATTGTAGTAGAGGGTGTTGGATAGCAGCTGGGCCGCGGCTGACACACCCATGGCCCGACCGTGGTTGTGCTGATACGTCACATTGCGGTGCTGCGGGGAAGAGGAGGGGGAGGGGAGAGAGGGGGGAGAGAGGGAGGGGGACGGAGCCCACATGCACACAAACACACATATTCTTTGTTCTTGGGGTGTTCGACCAGCGTTCGAGGTGTGTGTGGGGGGGGCGGAAAGGTTCGGGTTGGGCGGGGGTGGATATGGGTTCAAGGGTTCCATTTCGGGGTTTGGGGTGGGGAGGGGAGGGAAACTAATATGCCACAGATTCGGGGAGAATGGGCGATTGTAATGGGTTTCAGATACGGCAGGTGTGGTTTTCCGTACCACTTCCCTCCTCCTCAAACAACGGATATATATGGACCTGAACCGCCTAGGGGGTTTTGCTGGTTTGCTCTCCCCCTCCTGCTTTCTCCCCCCACAGGGGGCCGGGAAGGATTGCGACTTCGGAACGCGCTCTCGCACTCTATCCAATCAGTGGGCAGTCGGAAAGGAGAGTATACAGGCAGACAGACAAACAGACACAATACATACATACATAGAAACAATTCCCCATCCGAGTGCTCTCCAAACCTGCCAATCCCCCCATCAATCCCCTACCTGCCTACCTACCTACCTACCTACCTACCTGCCTACCTACTCATAGGGGCTTCAGCCAGAGCTAACTAAGCGTTGATCCGTCTTCCCTCTTTAGCCCTCTCTTGTTCGGTGCTGTAACGGTGAGGTAACGGCTAACTAACTACTCGCCGCTGTCAGCACATAACCCCAATGGCGCCATGAGCTGGTTGGTGCCCTGCCCTGCCCGGCACCCGCCTGCCGGCCAACACGGCACCCATCCGCACCCGCACCCGCAGTCGCTCTGGCAGCCTCAGCCTCAGCCTCAGCCGAGATGTGGACATCCAAGGGGGGCCTTGGAGCACCACCCGCAGTACCGCAGCCACCACTCGCCCGCCATAACAACCCCCCGTTAAACGCAATCCACCCTCCGTCCATCCATCCATCCATACATATATCGTTATGCCCAGACATAGACAGACAGACAGACCTGCAGCAGCTTGTGCAGTGCCTTCCGGTCCGCCTGCATGCCCGCAGAGGCGACCACCACCTTGTCAGTCCTGGTGAGAAAGAGAGCGGGGTGAGTGAGGGGGTGAGTGAGGGAGTTGTATGAGGGTTGTGTGTGTGTGTGAGGTGTGTGTGTGTGTGAGGGGGGTGAGTGAGGGGGTTGTGTGAGGGGGAGGGGACACCAGGAAATGATCGCCCACCCAACTACCCACATACACACACGCACCTCACCAAACGGCAGCGCGGAGAAACACTTGTGGCCCCGGTCGCTGACTTGGCCAGGCCAATTCACAAGTAAAACGTCTGGTCAACGTCTCCTCTTCATGCCCACCCCAAACATTCAGCACTAATTCCGTTGCCAAGCTAATTGGTTGATGTGGTGTAACTTCTGGTCCGTTATCAGCTAAGTGACTTGTATCCCGTTAGCAACGAGGAGAGGCTCTCGGGATGAGGGGCTGCTAACTCACAGTTGGAGTAGCATCGACGCGTCGCGCGTCAGGATACTGAAGCCAGTGGACATACGCGTGCTCCCAGCAACAATGCAATAGTCCTCGCCTGCGACGGCGACAACCGTCCTGCGCTGACGAAAGCCCCGGGTGAGACCTAAGGACATCCAAATGCGCGCGACCAGCAGAGATCTGACTGCAACCCAACGTTACCGCTGCTTACCCGCCGTTATCATCGTATCTGAAAACATATCACCACATTGGCGTCAGAGCATGAAAATGCTGTAGGCAGGTGTCCCGAAAAACAATACATGGAACTTACGGGCTCCAAGTCGCATGCGTCCTTTGCCCATCCGCGGCTTCCGCATGGACCTTGGTAAGCGGATTGCCAAGTTGGTATGGAGTCACGGCGGCCATGGTAAGTTTACAACCAGATGAACGGATCTTAAGCCTTACGCCTTCCCTACTCTTAAGCCTTCCCTAAGACTACACAACCAGACGCAACAAGTCCTTAGATCTAAAGTGATGTTCCAACAAATGTTTGCCTGTCTGGCACTGCTAACTGCATCTGGCAGTTTTTCTTGCAGGATGTCGTGCATTCATTATGTCATCACCTGTGCTAAGCGACCAAGTAGCTCTTCGTGCCTTCATTTTGGAGCAATTGGCTTCTAGGTTCTTATGAGGACGCCATGTGCCCGCCTTCTCCCACACCCAGCACTTCCACACCCACAAGCCGAACAGACAGACCCTTTCGCTCCGTGGACTAACGCCCGTCCAGCAACACCAACTTTCGACAGTTTGACTAAGTACCCCAAACGCAACCCCAACGTTTCGCGTTTGCCTTCGTGAATACGGTATATTACGGTACACGACCTTCTTACGTGGCACAGGGCCCCCCTACGGTTGTTCGTACAGCGGCATTATCCCCAAAACCCAATCGCCCCCGCCATGCGCTCTAGATGCGCGGAGATGTACAACATACACACCCTCGCACGATCTTGTCAATATCAGGAATACGCACGAGTGCGTTTTCTCCTTAGCCAATTATGGATTGACCGAAAGGCAAGTACTTGGGATGCCGGAGGAACCAAGGCCTTGCAGCTGAGGATGTGTTGTACAATTTGCAGCTGAGGATGTAACGAGCAACTTGCAGCTGAGAACATGTCGTACAACTTGCAGCTGAGAAATGTCGTACAAAAGCTTGTCTCGGTAAGATGTGGCCCCTACCCACCGCCGTGATGAGGACCTATAACGGTTCCAGGTGCCGGCTGAGGAGTGAAGGCGTGCAGCACGTACGACACACATAGCCGACGCTTCATCTGCGTCGCACTCAGTTCTGCGTTTTTTTATTTAAAGTTTTGCCACTTGCATGTGTGTGGAGAATACAAAATATTTGAACTCAATACCCGACAGGTGGATCCTGTTCGCCGCTTCATGGCGGCACCTCCGCTTGTCGCCAAGATCATTTCGGATCAGTATTGCATGAGCAGACATACATACAGACAGGCTGACACACATACAGACAGATAACCAGACAGGCAGCCAGACAAGACTGGCTCCTTGCTTTAGGAAAACACACATCTTCCCCAGACCTGCCGTACAGTCGGCGCTGAGGGTAGTACGACTGTACAGCAGGTCTGAGGAAGTTGTGCACAGCTCGTGAAGGCTTCACGAGCTGTGCACCATCCCATCAGCACAATCTGCGAGTTGTACAGCAATTGACAGCCACATGCCGTACCTTCGCCCGCCGCTACACCGTGCTCTCAGCCCCCAAGGTAATTAACCCTCCGATTAAAACCTCCCAGCCACATACATACGTTCATACATACACACGTCGTCGTACATACCGCATGAACCGTGCCGAAAATTGTGGGCGTGGTGCAGTATATCATCTTATGCCGTTGTTGGAATGGTGCGATTGGGAGTACGACATAAAGAACGTTATCACTCTTACTTCGATTACACTACAGGGCTACTAAATAGGCTTCATTAAAAACTTAAATAAAACTGGAGGCGCACCGCCTCTCAGGTGCTTCAGAGCCCGTGAGATCATGGCGGACATGTGCGTTGCAAAAGCAGACGACACAGTACATATACATACATACTTACTTGTACAACATACATGCATACACACATACACACACGCCACTTGGCCCCACACGCCCCACGACGCTTGCCGGCCCCCCCCGCTTCCCCCCGCAGCCATATCAGGGCCCATGAGCCGTCTTTTATCCCCAGTATTAGCAGCAGTAGCAGTATTAGCAGCAGTGGCAGTAGTAGCATATTGACGGATCAACAACTACTGCTGCTACTGCAATTGATATCAACACGTCCACAATATACGTATATAGATGCGAATGCCGTAATGGGTGTACGGGCGGTTGGCGGTTGAACCACCCATCGGGGGGAGCAGCGGAGGAGGGGGAGGAGGAGGAGGAGGGGGAGGTCTCCGTCTCCTCCCCTTCCTCCCTTTCCCCCCCGTCCCCTCACGCGGTAGCGAAACACATCTGGCACATGCACATACACACGCACATACACACGCACATACATACAGGCGCATCTTTCTTTGGCGTCAGCGGCACTTGGCCAAGTTACCTCAAACACATATCACGTATATCGCACACACACGCCTACAGGAGAGAGTGTGCGGAAAGAGAGCCGTCGCGAGAGTCAAAGTGGGAGGGAGTGTGAATGTGATGTGAGGTGTGGGAGAGAAGAGAGAGAGATGAACGCGGTAAGCATATAGTCCAATAGCCCATCCTTCACTGGAAACGGCGACCGAGTCACCCAGTTCGCTCATTCGCTTGTATGTATGTATGTCCGTCCATACATCCCATCTCAAACCAATCTCATTCCAACGCATGAGACTCCTTACCCCCCCACCCCAATAGCCATCCAGACGACACACACAGCCACGGAATCGGCACTCCAAGACAACACCGCACCCTTGCCGTACCGGGGGCCCCGCCGCCAGCTCCCCCGCCGCTGCCGCCGCACGAGCCCCACAACCAGACACACACTCCCGCAACCAGTGCACCAGCGGTGGCGGCGGCGGCAGTAGCAGGCTTGACGTCAGAGGAATCATGTGACAGCGGCAGCGGCGGCGGCGGCGGCGGCGGTACCGGCAGCCAGCAGCTACAACACCCGGAAAGACCCCACGTTCCTGTCCGCCCACAGGATCCGGATCCTCCTCCCCCAAATCCGAATCCGGATCCGGGTCCTCCTCCCCCCAGGCCTACGCCTGGACGCCGCCTCGCGGGTAGACAGCAGCAGCAGCTGGCGGCGGCGGCGGCGGCGGCGGCGGTTCTCTGCAGGAGGTGACGTGCCGCCGCCGCCACCCCCTCTCCCTCGTCCTCATCGTCGTAACCCTTGTCTTCAGCGGCTGCGTGTGAGTCACACACACACACACACACACACATAGGCAGGCAGGCAGGCAGGCAGGGGCACAGACACACAGGCACACACACACACACATAGGCAGGCAGGCAGGCAGGGGCACAGACACACAGGCACACACACACACATAGGCAGGCAGGCAGGCAGGGGCACAGACACACAGGCACACACACACACATAGGCAGGCAGGCAGGCAGGGGCACAGACACACAGGCACACACTCCCCGTAGTGGAAAGAGATTCGCAGGAAAGAGGTTCGCTCTGATGATAATCATAATAAAAATACTCACTTCAAAAAATAAAATATCGCCAAACTACGAAGTACAAAATAAAGCTTCGTCCTTAGGACGAGATTCGTATATTCATTTACGACATAGGTAACCGTACGACTAAAGAAAAGGGTTTGCAGTCGTTATGCCTTGCCCCTTAGATGACGCTTGTGCGTGTGTATGTATGTGTGGGGGGGTGGGGGTGAGAGGGCCTAAACAGGGGGAAGGGACCCCCCAAAGGGCGGGGGGAAGGGGAGGGGGATGAGGACGAGCGAGCGTGGCATCTGGCCATGTGGGTATTGGTGGTTTGCAGTTCAAACGGACCACCATGTGCCGTACATATTCACTCTGTGCCCCGAATACCGTACATACACACAGGGGTAATTCGCGGGGGGCATCCTGTTTGGTCAGCAAGGCATGCAGGGGTTTCCGTACATAGGGCTCCCGTACACAAGAACCAGCTATTGGGGCCCTATGTTTTAGCGCGGGCACCTGCTGCTGTTGCCGCTGTTACGCATGCCGGCGCTGGCGGCGGCGCTGGCGGCGGCGGCAGGCGGTGGTAACGGAGGCTCCGGCAACAGCGCAGGCAGTGGCGGCGGCACCTCAAACCCCTTAAGCCGAATACCCCGGCATCCCGCCTCCTCCTCCTCCTCCTCTTCTTCTTCCTCTTCGTCGTCAAGGTTATCCACCGCACCCTCTCCGTCCGCCGCCGCCGGCGCCGCCGCGGAAGCCGCCGCCGCCGCCCGACCCGCCCGATTGGCTGCTTGCGGCGGGCGCGGCGGCGGCGGCGGCGGCGGCAGCTCCACGGCCATTGGCTCAGGCAGCGGCGGCGGCAGGTACGAACGTGGGGTGGATACGACAGCAGCAGCGGTGGCGTCGCCGCCGCGGACGCCGCCGCCGCCGGCGGCATGCGACGTCTTCCCTTGCCGACGTTTCGTTACCTCCGCGCCCCCGCCCGCCCCCGCTGTCGCAGCTGTCCCTGCCACGGCTGCTGCTGCCGCCGTCGACGCCGCCGCCGCCGCCGGCGCTACATCCGCAGCTTTACGGACGGAGTCACGCCGACGGCGTACGGCCATAAAGCGACGACAGAGCAGCCGGCGCAGAAGCAGCCGTACTAAGGGAATATGTGCGTACGGGAGCGGAGCGGACGGGTGCGCAGGTGTGTGTGTGTGAGGAGGACGTGTGGGCT